CCATGTTGGGATTGGTGCTTGTTGGCAACTTGAGAGTTCCTGTGAAAGCATTATCCCTCAGGTAAAGTTCCCTAAGTTTTGTGTTGTTCTCTAACAACCAAGTTGGAAAATTCCCTCCTATGTTGATCTTTTTGAGATCGAGAAATTTCAAGTTGGATTGATAGTAAAAGAAGTTGGGTAGTGTTTGAAGGCCACTAGAATTTGACATACTAAAACCCTCAAGTTGAAAACTGGGAACCGAGTTTCCCGACTCCTTTTCATTTATTATTTCATTGTTTTTCAAAAATATAAACTTGAAGTTTGAATGATTAAAGAATGCCTTGAAAGAAATTGGAACTTGAAAGTTATTACTTGAAAGGGAGAGAGATTCAAGTGATGTTAGTTTAGAAAGTGGAGACGATGCAATATTTCCAGTGAACTTGTTGTCAGAGAGCTCAATCAATCTAAGAGATGTCATGTTTGCGACACATGAAGGAAGTATTCCTTCATACTCATTCCAACTTAGATCTAGTTCTTGAAGGTTTTTAAGTTCACACCACCCTGCATGCAAATCAAATGACATCACTACTTCCAAACCCATCAAAGAAATAGGGAATATAAAGGCCTTGCTTATAAGAGGAAAGCAACTTTTTTCTCTCTAAACTTACTTTTAAGCCTCTGTGTAGTGGGATTAAAATTAGATTTTTAGTATATTTTGATACAAGTTTTTGAAATATGTGGTTGAAAAGTTATGGGACCCATAAAATATATTGTTAATATTAATTGTTTGATTTTGATTTAAATTAAAATCTGATTTAAATCAATACCAAACGAGGGCTAAGTAAGAAAGTTACTTTTTAAAATTGCATTTTTTATTATTTGTGAAAGTCTGAAAGATGGCAATAAGTTTTGAATATAATATAAATCTTATCTTACTATCAAGATAGGTAACTCACTTATTTTCACTCACCAATTAAAAAAATTATAGATTGTTAAACTTAATTACTTTTAAGTAACCTTTTAATGTTAGCCTAACCTCTTAAATTATATTAATTATAAACTCCGTTGTGTTACATGTACATTACCACTTATAAATTGATCTACATACATATAATATGGTGATATATGAGTAAGGATGTCAATATGGCTCGTCGGCTCGGGCGGCTTGTCATCAACCGGCTCGAGTCTTGAAAAAAAAAATTAAAAAAATAGTTTGTAGCAGCTAAAATTAAAGCTGCTCACAGTTGCAATGCAGGCAGCTGTCATCCATCACAGCTGCTTGCTGTTTTTATTTTATTTTTATTTTTTTAATTTTTTTAAAGTTTTTCAATTTTAGCTGTATTTTTTCATATGTTAATATTGAGTTATTATTTATAATATGTATTCATTAATAAATTTTTTTAGATTTATAACTAATTAAAAATAAATAAATCGAGTCGGCTTGGCTCGAGCCTAAATTTTTTGGCCGAAAAAGCTCGAACCATTTTTATTCAAGCCGAACCCGAGTTTCTCGGCTCGTTGGCATCCCTATATACGAGTGAATCATCTTTTCTTTAACCAAAAAATATATATATATTCTCTACTTTCCTCTTGACACCTCCTCTATATGTAAAACTTTTTATAACTCCTTATTTACAAGTAATATTATTCTTATAAAATACTAGTTTTGCTACAAAGTGATGTTCTGATGCATTTTCTTTTGTCACACGTTTCTCTATATTTGATAGTAAAGTAATCAATATCTACTTGTGTTTTCCGAAAAATCTAATCGAAATTAGTAACTACCTCTATTAAGTCCCTGTTTAACAATTATTGTTTGAAAACTCATTTTTTTTTACATACTTATTTGCAACCACATATTCACACAATAAAATATTCTACACGTAAACCCAAATTTTTTCCTACTTTTTGACTACACATTCTTTTAAAAATCACTATTCAAAACATTGTTTTTATCGAATAATGATTGTCAAATATGGGCTAAAAGAGATACAATCATGAGATGACTTTGCATTCATTTACCAAAAGTTCAACTGAGATGCAAGGAAAGTTTTAAAATTGAGTAAATAAAAATAATTGAAGAAACAATTTATTAATTAGCAAGCTAAGTCATGGAAAACATTGTTTACGAAACAAGCCATTGAAGTTTACCTTCTAAGGGAAGGGTGCCATTGAGTCCGCATCTAGACAAAGATAAAATTTTGAGGGAAGTCAATGCTCCAATACTTTGTAGAATGTTCCCATCCACGGTAGAATTGTCCAAGAACAATCCCTCCAGCCGTCTTAAACGTCTCAAATCTTATACACGAAAGCAATGGAATGTGCATGAGAGTTGGAGTTAGTAATATAATTTTTGTGACTAGGAATTACAGCTCTTTTGGCTTACCATAAGTTCCAATACTTCCGTTTACATAATTGTACCGGAAATAGAAGTGCTTGATTTCTGAGAATTCCTTCCAAGCTTGCATCATGTTGCTAATGTTGGAGACACGTAGGTCATCTAGTTTTAGCACTTGGAGACGATGCATACTTTTGATGTCTGAAACGGAAAACTCTCTAGGTAATAT